CAATTGCAGTGTTGCAGTTTGTCCCCGGCCCCAGTTGGGGTCATGTGGGTAATAAATAAATAAATAAATAAATAAAGTGCTTACAATGGGGCAGGTTATATTTCCATGAGGTTCATGGGGTTGCAGCCTTGTTTAAGCCTTTTCCTTTAACCATTTAAGCCTTTTCCTCCCAGCACAGGTAAATGTGAGAAAGCTCTGGGCCTCTACCATTCTTTCAGAAGGTCTGTAAACTGTACAAATTCCTCATTGTGGACAGCAGACTAGTGGTTGATGGCAGTGGCATCCTTTGGAAGCACCAGTGATGCCCAGAGTACCTTTCTAAGTTATTCTCTAGGGAACTCCAAGGCCTTGTCTGTGCTGAAGTCTCAAGGTCTGTCATAGATCCACGCTAAATTCTCCATACAACCTCGGGATGTTCAAGGACCCCCTCAGTCTCTCCTGTAACCCTCCAGAGTTAAGAGACTCTGTTTGAGTGGCATGCCTTGGGATCCGGACAAAGACCTCTATACTCTCATTTCATTGCAATCAGTGAGTTGGCTTCTGAAGTCAATGTTGACCAGAAAGAGAGATCACCTTGTTTGGCATACCAATTTTTTAAAAATATGTTTTTATTAATTTTTTAGAGAGAGAGAAGAAAGGATAGAAAGATAGTAACATTGATGTGAGAGAGAAACATTGATCAGCTGCCTCCTGCAAGCACCTACTGGGGATCGAGCCTGCAATCCAGGGCACGTGCCCTGACCAAGAATCGAACTGGGACCTTTCAGTCCATGGGATGATGCTCAGACCACTGAGTCACACTGGCCGGGCTTGGCACACCAATTTAATACGACCACACTTAATAGCAGCAAAAGTAAACTCTTGCATGTACACCCTGTTATGGGCTGAATTGTGTTCTCCCAAAATTTATATGTTAAAATCCTAACCCACAGAATGCGAGTCTGTAGAGATAGGGCCTTTAAAGAGGTGATTAAGTTAAAATGAGGCTGTTAGGGTAAACCTAATCAAATATCTGGTGTCCTTATAAGAAGAGGAAATTTGGATACACAGGGAGACACAGAGGAAAGACCACGTGAGGTGTCAGCAAGAGGACAGCCAATCTAATAGTGGTATCCATTCGTCTACAGGCCTCAGGAGAAACCAACCCTGCTGATAGCTTGATCTTGGACTTGTAGTCCCAGAACTGTGAGAAAATAAATTTCTGTTTATTGTTGTAACTGCAGCAAATGAAAGAAAATCCCATAAGGAAAAAGAAGAACAGGAGACAGAGACAGGAGAGACATTTGATTTTAGAGCAACAATGTCAAAGCTATATGAAAGAGACACAGGGATCTAAGTTCATTTTAAATGCAGCAAAAATAAAATACTTGCTGACCCTTCTTGTAAGGGTCCTCCTTACAGAGCCCCTGTCTTTGAGAGCAGCAGTCTTGACCATGAGACTTGCTTTTGCCAATGAAATGTGAGCAGAAGTGAGTGAGTAATAAGCAGTTGCCCATTACTGCATTCTTTGCCACAAGACGGGAAATATCAGAGGTATTTAACCAGACACTGGTGATACCTTGTCAGACACAGTGAGGAGGAAATTCGTTGCTGGTGGTAATGGGGAGCCAGTGGTTTATAAACATTTTTAGAAATATAACAAAATCTTCAAAGGAATCCTCAACACAATAGTGGTGTTTATTAGTCTAAATTTATTTTCTATAGTTAAATTAATAACATTTGATTTGTATAAAGCCAATCACTATAATGGACGCTTTGCTGATGAACATAAAAAATTGAGAATTGGGAGTATTTACTCATCAATTTACTTATCAAGTAGCCACTCTTTGCCAAGTGCTGTTCTTGGCACTGAAAATGCATCATGGTTAAGTTTATTGAAGAACTTGAGTAGAGGAGACCGACAATCAACAACTAAACCAATAAATAAGACAATTTCAAATAGTGAGAAGTGCTATAAAGAGCACATAATGCATGTGGCAGAGCAGCGGTGGCTGTGTTCAGACACAGGAAAGTGAGTGGTCTGGGGAGACCTGTCTTAGGAGCTAACATGTGAGTTGAAACCCGAGTGACAAGGAGGATTCTGAGCACGAACATTCCAGGCAGAGGAAACGGCAGCACAAAGGCCATAGCGGCAATGACCAGGCGTTTGAGGAACAGAGTGGTTGCTCCGCTCTGCTCCTGCAGAACAAGAGGGAGAGAGAGGCAGGCGAGGGACAGATCACAGAGGATCTTACATGCCAGTTCTTCTCGAGCTATCTGATTTCAGCCACAGACCAGTATGTGATCCAACACAACTGGTTTGCAGCATGTGCTACAAGTTCCTCCCTATGGCAAGTTTGACAGTCCCCCAACCCAACTGGACCTCGTCTTCAATAAGATCACGTGCTTGACGTGGTGGCAGTGTCACATTGCAGTGGTAGTTTCTAAATGCTGACTTTTAACTTCTCTCCTTGTTGCATGTACCTCAATGCAGACCAGGAACTTACGTGTGTGGATCTGTAGACCACACTTTGAGCAGTGCCTGGAAAGGCCCCTGGATTTTACTCTAAGTGGGGGAAGCATACACAGGAGAGGTGGGAAAGAGAAGCATCAGGGACCAGGGATGAGGTAGAATTTTTTACCAAGATGGAGAAGACTTATGGAGGAACCAGTCTGGGAAGAGAGCAAAAGTTCTGCCCTGGACCTGGTAAGTGAGAAGTGTCGAGACCTCCAAGTGAGAGGTCAAGGAGGAAGTCAGATATATGAATCTGGAGCTCACAGCTGAGGTCAGGACCAGAGTAGTAATTCTGGGAGCCTGCATTTAAAGCCACACACGAGGGGAGTTAATAACAAGTGTTGTTATGAAAGAAATGAGATCCCAAGACCTAGACCTCAGAGCATTCTGGCATGAGAGTTGTTGACTCCATCAATATCAGTATCCGAGGACTTTGAATCTAGTATTTGTGAGACCAGGGCATCACAAAACAGAGTTAAATCCCAAAATGTCACAAGGTTGGCATAAAGGGGTGGGGGTGGGGGGGTCAATAAATATAGATGGGATGAGTGAATGAACTCCAAGACACCTGTCCAATTCTGAGATATTGAAAGTCTAGTATTATTCATGTTTCACATCCATGATACAGTGAGTTGAATACTGGTCTTCAAGAAGCCATTCCATGCCTTAGAAACTGTGAATGGGACCTTATTTGGTAAAGGGGTCTTTGCAAATTAAGTAAGATCTCAAGATGAGATCACCATGGATTATCCAGCTGGGCCCTAAAGCCAATGACAAGTATCTTTATAAAAGACACACAGAGGAGAGACACCGACAGAAGAGGATGAGGCCATGTGACTATGGTAGAGATCGGAGTGATGTTGAAGAGCGATGGCAGCCTCCAGAAGCTAGAATAAGCAAGAAGGGTGTTCCTCCAGAGTCTGTAGAGGGAGTGCAGCGCCACAGTCACATGATTTTGGCTTTCTGGTGTTTAGAACTATGAGCGAATACATTTCAGCTATTATAAGCCACCCAGACTGTGGTAGTTTGTAAGGGCAGCCCAGGGAACCTAACACATGGGATCCTTCACTGACTCTATTCCAACATTTCCGGTGAAGCTGGGTTTTATTCTGACCCAGTGATTCTCAACTCTGAGCACACATTTGAATGGCCCTAGAGAACTTATAAAAAAGGCTGAAGTCTGGGTCACACCCTCAGAGATTCTGCTTCATTTGGCTTGGGGTACAGGCTGGCTTTGTGGTACAGTCAGAGCTGAAAACTCTAATTAGTCACAACAACTTAATATCATGGGGTGACACAGAAGTACATGGATGGGAACAGCTATATGAAACCTTTTTACCTTTAGAAAATTGCTTTGGAAATAGCATTCTGTATATTTATGTCCTAATATAAAGTATTTGTAGGAACTGTTTGGACCCGTTTCACGCCAGCGGTCTGTGCGGACCCTTTTGGCTCTCAGTCCTGTCTCCACCACGAAGGGGTCAAGGGTGTTCTGAGAGCTGGGCGCTGCCCGTGCTGCCCAGACGCACCCGGGAGGCATAGCCTTGCAGATGATCAATGCTCACCTTTAGCATAAATCAAACGCTGTCACTGGCAAGCCCCGCTCCAAATTGTTTCCCTGCCTTCCCTACATTTAGATAATGACGATTTTGAATTTCTCGTGGCTTGGTACTTCACGTAATTAAAAAAAAGATCTGCAGGCTGGATGTGCTGCATAGAACAGCATGTTATTATTTGGAGGGAAGAGGGTCCCTAATTGTGGAACAAAGCGATTCCTTGTATGTCAGCCCTAAATAAACGTTTCTTTATTTTTCAGTTGTGTGACCTCTGATAGTGGTCCTTCCAGCATGTCGGGGAGCAGTTAGGAGTGAACTGTAGTTAGCAACGCATGCTTGTCTGTAAAGGGCCTTTGACAAGGAGCTCACTGCATCTATTGACTCCCTGAGGAGTCTGAGGTCACAAGCTTGGCTGGAGCACATGAGCCCAGATAATGAAGATGGTTTGATCCTCTTGAAACAAAGCCAGAAACTTTATCTACTTCATTGTGCACTATGGGTCATGTGCTCACCATGAGGATTTCTCTAACGCTAATCCCCCTAATGATGGCTTCTCCCAGCCCTTACAAAAACCTCACGAGGCCCCGTGGCTGGCAATCCAGACAGAATAAAGGCAGCCTGGTGTTTGCCTTTTGAACTGAGTTCAAGGCAATTAAAGTCATGGGTTAAGGAGTAAAGGAGGAGGTTTAAAAATACCAGCATAATAAGTAGTATGACTGGGGTGCTTTGCAAATTAACTCAATTAGACAAAGCCTGATTTAATGGGGGGAAGGTGGTGAGAAGCGCTACCCTCATTAAATCTGGCTGTTAGAGGTGCTACCAATAAAATTAAATTTGTTTTAGTTGTTTGGATCACATAAAGTAGTCTGTGCATGCACACACATGCACTTGCGTGGGCTCTGTAATTTTTTAAAGAGAAGAGGAACAGACCACAAAACAAAAACATACCAAAAAACAAAACAAAACAAACAAATCCAAAAAAAACCGAAACTGAAAAACTGAGTGAATGCTCAAGAGCTCGAGTGGAAGACAGGAAGAAAGCAGTGGAGAAAGAGTGGAGAGTTCTCCTGATTATAAAGCCATGAGCTCCTTCTGGTGGGGGCTGCTGCTTGGTTGCCTGGGCTGTGGAGCCCTGCCCGGAGCCCGGGGGCAGTTTCCCCGGGTCTGCATGACAGTGCACAACCTGGTGTCTAAGGAGTGCTGTCCGCCCCTGGGCGTGGAGCCGGCCAACGTCTGCGGCTCTCAAGAGGGCCGTGGCCAGTGCACGGAGGTGCAAGCCGACACCAGGCCCTGGAGTGGTCCTTACTTTCTGAGAAACCGGGATGACCGAGAACGGTGGCCACGGAAGTTCTTCAACCGGACCTGCATGTGCACAGGTGAGGCAGACCCTCGGGGGGGACCTGGCCTGCTCCAAACTTAGTGGGGAGGCCCCAGCTGGGAAAGGAGCCCCTTCTAAGGAAGGGATGAGACTGCTAGACTAGGCTTTGAGGGGCAAACCCAGTTTGTTTCTCGCAGGCAGCACATTGAGTAATGCTGATGTCTTGGTTATAGTCCGCACTCCCTCAAGTACATGAAGTTATGGAATCTAGGTAAATATTGCATGAGCCAAGCCGGGCTATATGAACTCATGCCAACATACCATTGGCTTGTCTGTTGGAAGCTACAGAGCTCAAGAGTCAGCTTTGAAACCCAGGGCAAGTCCTTTCACGATGGATTCAATGCCTTCTCCCGAAATGGGTTTGCACTTGTTGAAGGGGGGTGGTGAGGTTGGCACCCAGGCGTCGGAGGCAGGTGTTCCACAGTCCTGGTCCGAATGATTTCAACAGGTCTGAGCAGGGTGGAATTACGCCTGCGTCGTAACTTTGTCAAGCTGGATAGAGGTGGCAGGTCAAAGCTTTCTCGGTGACCCGGGAAGGGAGGTGTTTTAGATTCTTTTTTCACTCTTGCCTGGGTTTGATGTAGGCATTTCCCATTTGCTCAGTGTCCCTCCTTTTGGCCCTGGTCTCTTTCGTTACCCTGTTCTTTGAAATCTGTGTGCTCTCGGTCCTCTGGCTCTTCGGACCTTCCCTAGTCCTTTCACAGGGCTCGCTCCGGGGCTCGGCACAGCAGCCACACTGAGCTCTCAGAGACCAGCAGGGCATTGGAAACACAGGAAAACACGAGCGGCAGCTTCAGCAAAGCCCTTGGACATGGTCCTACAGCGTCCAGCTGCATGAGATGTTTTTCTTTTTAAATTCTGTTTTCCTATGATACTGGGACACAGGAAAATACAGATAATTGAGCTGTGTAAGGGTATACCATGTAAACTAAGGGAATAGACAAAGGATTGTGATGATAATGTAGAAAGGATGTTAGTTCTTTTAAACTTTAAAAAGAATTATGGGGAAATGAGGTCAAGGTGGCGGCGTCGGTAAACGCGATATCGCGTCCTCCCACAACCACATCAAAATTACAACCAAACTACAACACAACCATCATTTAGAACCTCCTGAAATCGAACTGAATGGAAGTCCTACAACTAGGGAATTAAAGAAGCCGCCACATGGAGACTGGTAGGAGGGGCGGAGGCGGACGGGCTGGTCCCGCACCCACATGTGGCGGATAAAAATCAGGAGAGACCTCGGCTGGGATGTCTTCTCTGAGGACTGAGGGGTCCCTGTCCCACACCAGGCACCCAGCTCAGGGTCCCAGTGCCAGGAAGAAAAGTCCCCATAACTTCTGGCTGGACAAACCAGCGGGAACTGAGGCTCAGGGAGGCTGCGGCTGCTGGAGCCCCAGGCAGCTCCTCTTAAAGGGCCTGCGCACGGACTTACTCAGACCCACTCCCTCTGAGCTCCGAGGGGAAGCAGCTTGAGGGGCACCAGAGAACAGGGAAGAACTGAGCTCTTTGACCTCCGGACGACAGCTGGAGGGGCAGCTTTCTCCTGGACAGACGTGTTGGTGAGCCCTTCCCCCACAGAGCAGGCAGACGGCTGCCATATCTGGGACTCCAGCAACCTGGCTCACACTGTTGGCCCTGCCCTGATGATTCCCTGAGGCCCCGCCCCACCCAACTTTTGGGCCCACCCAAGCTGTTTTCAAAGGCTTTACCATAGGACTAGCCTGTCTTGGATGCTGCTTCAGAGTTTTCTAAAATCTCTCAAACAAGCAGCATCTGGTATCTGAGCCCACCAGTGCACCTGGCACCATCGGACACCCTGTGTCAACACAGACCAGTGCACAGTAGTGGAGCTGTCCAGGTGCCGGTTGCGGAAACCACAAATGGTTTCGGAAGCCCAGCACATTCCCGCAGTAGCAGCCTGATCAGAGTAGAGATACACCCCCAGCAACAGAGACTGGGGAGCAGACATCCATCCCCAGGCAACAGAAGCACAGACCAGCAGCAGAGGACAATCCCTACCCCCCCCCACAAAAAAAAACCCTACAGCAAAGGCTGAGCAGGATTGGAGCCCCACTGGGCAGCAGCACTCTCCTTCTGCCAGAAGCAGGACCTGGGGCTCCGTATGGGGCCTGTGCAACACAGCTGCCCACAAGAGCGGTGGGAAGCTGGGGATCCAGAGGGGCCTGTACGACCCAGTGGCCCACAAGAGTGGTGCAGAGCTGGGGCTCGAGAGGGGCCAGTCTCAGAGAGTCCCATACCTCTCGTTAAGTGGCCCCAGTCCTGGCACTAGAAGCAGCTAGCCTTGGTTCATAACTTGGCTTTTCTTGGGTACCTCCAAGCCCAGCACAAGAAGCAGCCATCTGCAGATCACTTTGTAGCTTATGCTGGGTGGCCCTGGATAGAGCACAGGCAGTGGCTGACCTTGCCCCAGAGCCAGCACACACAGGGGACAGCTTCAGACCACATCGAAACACCACCACCCAACCACCTCCATAGTGACACACTCAATGAGTGAACTCAGTGGGTCATAGCCCTGCTGAAGCAAGTCTTGCTCTGTGTGGTGGGCCCCTACACAGCTGATCCTTCAAGGTAGTGGCTAGTGGGCACAGCCAGTCCCCACTAATTACTCCTTTGCAGCTGAGCAGCCTGAGTAAACCCCTCCCATTGCTGTGCCAACAGCAATCAATACTCAGTTACAAGAGAAGGGTGTACAGTCCACACTAGGGGTGCACCATGAGGGTCCAGCTGGGGTGATCAGGGAGACTGTGCCACTGGATCCTACAGGACACCTACAACAGTAGGCCATCCTACGAAGCCTAGGAGGCATAGCAACTCTGCCTAATACATAGAAACAATCACAGGGAAGCAGCCAAAATGAGGAGACAAAGAAACATGTCCCAAATGAAAGAAAAAAACAAAACTCCAGGAAAAGAACAAAACAAAATGGAGATAAGCAATCTAACAGATGCAGAGTTCAGAACACAGGTTATAAGGTTGCTCAGGGAACTTGGTGTGACATCCAAGGAACTTAGTGAAACCTTTAAGGAACTCTGAGGAACTTAGTGAGAACATCAACAACATAAAAAAGGGCCAGTCAGAAATTAAGGATGCACTAACTGAAATAAAGACTCATTTACAGGGAATCAATAGTAGAGAAGGTAAAGCCAAGAAGCAAACCATCGATTTGAAATATAAGGAAGCAGAAAACACCCAACCAGAACAGCAAAAAGAAAAAAAGAATCCAAAAAATGAGAATAGTGTAAGGAGCCTCTGGGACAACTTCAAGCATGTCAACATTCACATCATAGTGGTGCCTGAAGGAGAAGAGAGAGAGCAAGAAATTGAAAACCTATTTGAAACAATAATGACAGAAAACTTCCCTAACTTGGTGAAGGAAACAGATATACAAGTTCAGGGAGCACAGAGAGTCCCAAACAAGTTGAACCCAAAGAGGCCCACACCAAGACACATCATCATCAAAATGTCAAAAGTTAAATACAAAGAGAGAATCTTAAAAGCAGCAAGAGAAAAGCAGTCTGTTACCTACAAAGGAGCTCCCATATGACCATCAGATGATTTCTCAAAAGAAACTTTGCAGGCCAGAAAGGAGTGGCAAGAGATATTCAAGGTGATAAAAAACAGTGACCTACAACCAAGATTACTCTATCCTGCAAAGCTATCATTTAGAATCGATGGACATAAAAAGAGTTTCCCAGGCAAGAAAAAGCTAAAGGAGTTCATCACCACCAAGCCAGTATTATATGAAAAGTTGAAGGGTCTTCTTGAAGGCAAAGAAGAACAAAAATATGAACAATAAAATGGCAATTAATACATATCTATCAACAATTGAATCCACAAACAAAATGAGCAAGCAGAACAGAAACAAACTCAGATACAGAGAACTTTTTGTTGCTTGCCAGATGGGTGGGGCTGGGTGAAAAAGATGAAGGAATTAAGAAGTACAAATTGGTTTTTAGACTGATGAACTTCAAAGGGAAACGGGGAGGGAGAGTGGGATGAGATAAACCAAAGAACTTCTATGCATATATGCATAACCAATGGACACCGACAATAGTGCGGGGAAGGGCGGAGGAATGGGGAGGAGGGCGTCAATGGGGAAAAAGCGAGAAACATCTGTAATACATTCAACAATAGAGTTTTTTTTTAAAAGTCAAGAATAAAAAAATATAAAGAATTATGGCTTTATGATAATTTTGTAGTCACTGTTATTCTGTGATTTAAAAAACTCTGTTAATTTTGCCTTGAGTATTAATTGCGACAAGATTTTAATAGCATATTGAAAATACATGATCCATTTTTTTCTAAACCAATTGAGCATTTGCTTCTATAGACATTATCTTTAGATTCTCATGGCTTTTCAGTCTAATGAGAAACAGCAGGTTTCATATTAGTTGTTCAATTGGAAACCACATAACGCAGTAACTTCTTTGTCCATGACTCAAAAATTCTTCCAGAGCACTTATTTCTGGGTCAGTCAATGTTAGAGTACTACAAAGTACAAAGGTTGGAAATCTCCATGTTATAGAATTTTGAGATGGATGGTAATAGGAAATCAGATATAACTGTTTGCTCTTCTTATTACCATCTACTTTATCTTTTTGACCTGGGTAACAAGTTGTTTTTTTAAAAAGGGAATGGAAAGATCAGAGAATGGCAGAATAGAAGGGATCATTGTAATCTTCCTTTCCTGATGGAATGCTTATAAATATTTCTCTAGAAGTGACAGTAACTTAGGATCATAATGACCTACATTAAAAACATAAAAAGGGATCCCCTGCTCTGAGGAGAATAAACATACTTAAGAGGCAGAGGACCAGAAACTGAGCCTGTCCTCTAAGTCCAGGCTGTAAAGATCTCACAAGTCCATAAGCCAGTCAAAGGAAGCTGGGCTTCCTCAGGGTGACTGGTCTCCAACTCCAGCTACTGTTAAGGCTATGACTGCTTCTGATACCCATTACCAGGTTTTGGCTCAGC